GCACCCTGAGCGCCCATCTCCCAGTGGTGTCGGCATGGCTCTCACGTTGCGTCGGATCGGCCGCATACAACCCCCCTCCCAGGCGCCCATCGTTGCAGGGGCTTGCACTGCAATTACACTTTCCCAGGTGCGTATGCGGCAACACGGCCGGCAAACGTGCATGTGCCCGGTCGGGGGGCGGGGGGTGCCTCACCGGGGCGCCGCGCCGCGCCACGCCCCGACCTCCCGGATGCGGGCAGCCCTTCCCGGGTCCCCCTCCGCGGATCGGACACCGTGCACATACACACACACCATACGCGTTCGGGCACCGTGCACATCCATGTGCGACATCCGCCTCGGGGGGAGGGGGCACACCATGGAGAGCTCCCCGCAGGGGCCTCCCCCAGCATGGAAGGGGGGGGGGGAGCTCTGGACCCTGTCCGGGCGGGGCGGGGCGCGTGCGCGCCGCTCGCCCTGATCCCAGCGCGGAGTGGTATCCCCTTGCCGGAGAGCGAGCCCGAGTTCTGCCCTTCCCGCGCCTCGAGACGACCTCGCAAATAGACGGCGCCTGGCAGTCTCCCCCCCCCCCCGCCCTGGAAGGTCTCCGGAAGGGGCGTGCTGACCGTCTGGCCGGTGAACAAACGTGTTTCCCCCCTCTCCCCCCCGCGCCCCGCCCCCCGGGGCGAAAGTGCCCGAGGCGGGCGCCGGTTCCCAGGGATCGGGGTTTGAGACGTACCCCCTCCCGGGGGAAGGTGCTGGTATGCGATGTGTACAGACACACACATCCCGGCGACATGCATCATCCCGACCCCTGGCTGAAGCTCACGCCCGTGCGTGTGGGCGCGTGTGCACCCGCCGGGAGCCGGACCGACACCGGGGCACAGCCGGAGGGCGAGGCCCGTCACCCGCCTGCCCAAATCGATTTGAGATCCCTCTCTCTGTGCCGTTCCCACCGGGAAGAGACCTTTTCCTATCCCCCGCAATCAGGCCCCCCCCCCCTCGTTTGCCGCCCCCTTCCACCCTTTGCGCCCGCCCTCCCTCTTCTCCCCTCCCCCCTCCCTCCTCCTCCCTCCCCCCGCCACTTCCTCCCCTCCCCCTTTCCATGGCTTTCCCCGGAACCACGCCCGCGACAATCTGATGGTATGTCGCCCGGGATCTCTCCCCACCTGCCGAGTGCCGATCGTGTCGGTCCGAATCTTTTCGGCCCCTGCCCGCGTTTACACCTCGCCACTTACCCTCCATACATGTATGCACACGCTCATGCCCCGCCGCCGAGGCCCCGAACGCGACTGGCGTTCCCGACGTGATGAC